AGCATATTAGGATTAGCTCCTTTCTCCAGCAAAAATTTGATAATATCAATATTATCCTTTTCAATGGCTCTAGTAAGAGCAGTATCACAATCAGATGTATACTATTATAAAAAAATTAAATAATAAATATGTATGACATTATAGCTGCAAACTTCAGTAGCATTAAGATCAGCTCCAGCTTCAAGTAGACCAATAACCTCCTCAGGCTTGGTATGAGATTCTATAGATCTTATCAATTCTCTTCCCTACATAATTATAAATGTAAATACATAGGACTAGATCATACCAGACTGGAACTTTTAATTATAACTTCTTTCCCAATTGTTACTACCTCATTTTGTTTTAGTGTCTATAAGAATAAAATATACTACTAATATCAAGGAAATTTCTTTAAAAAATAATTGTAATGCTGGCAGAGTATTCATGTCTATTACATGTAGTATTTGAAGGGATCTTGCAGAGTTTCATACAAAGGATTCCCTGAAAGAAAAGGGAAAAATCCCCCATTTCCTAATCTAAATAGTGTTGGCATGTTTAATAAAATAATATTAAGAGCCATTATCCACTGTTTATAAAATCACATAATTGAAATCAACTGAGTAGTCATAAATCTAATGTGTACAAAATGTGCACCAGGAAAGATCACATACTGAAATTAGTTCCTTTTTAGTGGTATATTCCAACTGTGACTCTGAAAAAAAATTAATATAACTAATTTTGAACACAATAAAATTATATAATGCATCATCTCACCTATCTCTTGTTGTGGTAATTCAATTACAGTAACTCCTTCAGTCTTCAGCTTCCTCAATATCACTGGATTCGTCAGATCTCTTATGACATCATCAAGAACACATGGTAGCATAGCATAAGTGATAATAACACAGTTTTCTCTTAGTTGTTTAAGAAATGCATAATATGACCATGAGAATTGACCAAAGGTCGAGATCCATGTATAAACATTAGTGAGTAACCAAGGCCTTTCAAGATGAAAAGAAACATAAGGTAAGCCAAGAGGAGCAGTAGGAGAGAGGTCTGATTGTTTGTGAAACAAAGGTATCAAGTCTTGAAAGGAAGCTGCACTTAATAATTTGGCATATTCTTCTTCGTATTTAAAGAAAAGTCGAATAATCTCATCATCATCTTTAATTAGTTCAGATAATTTCTTCAATAGCTTGTAATTGATGTAACCAATGAAATCATATTTGATTAGAAAATCAAAAAGGCTTTCAAAACCTATAACCTTTTCAAGAATATTGATAAAGGACATCAATCCTGAAACAACATGTGCTTTTCTCCTTAAGCATTCCTTTATCAAAAACTTTGCATCTTCTACATCAATGCAATGAATTTCAAGTGACTTTTTCACTGCAAGAGCAAGAGAATCATACTTTCCTTGCAATTTAATAGCAATTTCTTGAAGCTCTGGAACTTCATCAATTATAAACTCAAGATCGCGTACACCTATACACATTACATTTATATAATCTATTCTGTTACAATGAAGCTCTCCTTACCTGGATTGACAGTGTCCAGCTGCACTGCATGCCCTATTGAATTAAAGAAAAATATTGCATTATGCCAGATGTATGCGCAGTGGATTGCAATGCCTTGGCAACTAATTGGCAGTGGAACCGTCTTAAGGACTTTTCCAAAAGTATAAAGGTCGAAAGAACTTTAGTCTTTAAAACTCGAAGGCATGTAAAAATGATGATCAATGAAAGGTGCATGGTGAAACAGTGATTTTATAGGATATTCATCACAATAAGACCTTAATCTTATTATATTGAGTCCATATTTTGTTTCAGTGCTTATGTTTTCACTGAGTATGTGTCTAAACAGCTGGGCTCAGACTGACCTTCACTGGTAAGAGGTCTATCTGACATTTC